TATATATATATATATGAATATATAAATAAGTAACTGTGATGTATGTTTTATAGTGAATTTGTGTTTTTCATAGAAAATACAGATCAGTGTCCTTAAAATCTATTAATGGTTTCATTAATAAGTCAACTGCGCATGCTCACACCAAGGCTAATCGACATGAATGTCGTGCACTGTTCAGGGCAGGGGTAGTTCATGCACATTTCAATCGATTTTCAATTATTTGATACTATTTTACTATTTATTCTTCTCTTGATGGGTAGCTGCATGACCAGCTTTATGGGCTTATCATCAGAAAGTAGAATCGTCGGGGTCATGTGGATACTTGAGATGTGGGAAAAGATGGGGGAGGGTGTTGACGGCTATTTTTGTGCTGGTTGGGGTTTTATTTTTTAACGATTCTTTTATAGAATGATGATAACTTACATTGAGGTATAGGCCTACTGTATTTATTCGATCTTCCTGGAAATTAGGCCTACATTTCAGCACATGGCTGCATTGCGTATGAATTAATTTAAGTTAGAATTATAATTAGAAACAGTATACATTGACATCTAAAATATGACATCAACATTTCAATAAAGAAAAATGAAAAATCGGTCAAAAGCAAACCCATGCATTAAAATGCGAGACTTTAGGCCTAGCCTAGGCCCTAATTAATACTGTACGTATACTTTCCATCACCATAGAAATCTATGACGATTAATTGTGCTCACTGTTTTGCTTTGGCATTGTCCTATTTTAATCTATATACTCTATTTGTCAACTTATCAATCAATTAATGTTCAATTCTTTAATAATTCTATAACATATACATCTGGCCAGAGTCTAGAGAAAGGTTAGCCTGATAGCGGCCCAGCAGCAAGCTAAGGCGAGGTTGGGCGTAGGCTAGAGCCGATAAAAATATCAGACTAATTCCTACTAGTAATAGTAGTATTTATTTTGTAGTGGTAAATCCTTAATAAAAGCCATTTTTTCCATTGTAGCTACCGACCGTGTCCAGCACACACATGTCCTATCTTTTGTGCAAATTTTCCGATCGCTTAAAACATCAGAATTGCGGCCTATATATCTCCCAAAAAATACATTGTATGCTGAATCATAATCAAATAATAAGTTAATAGTAATATCAGTAAATAAATTAAAATTCATTTTTATGATAATTGCACATAGGCCTAGGCCTACTGCTCGCACAATTTGAAACGACTTTGAAACAACATCAGCAAATGGAACAAACTTTGTAAAACATAAACAAACATACACACATTGCACACACCATAGGTTTATGTCGATTGATCATGGATACGAGCATGCGCAGTTCTAACTACGAATTGGCGTATTATATTTTAAAAATCAAACACTTAAAAGTTATATTTTACAACTATATAATAATTTACACTCACATTCTCAAACAGAAAATACATTAGTTCGTTTAAAATTAAATATATTTTGAAATCATCACTGACACATAAAAAAAAAACCCATGAAAACAATTAAGTCTACATCCACAAAAAAATAATTAATTAAAAAATATAATAATTTCAGTATTATTATTTTAAAAATATAAATCTCACATTGAATAAGCAATATGAAACAATAATAATATAATATGTAATTTAATATATAAATGAAAGTTAGCGAATAAATTGTCGTATAGTTTATTTCCTAAAGACAAACTTACCTTCAAGACATTCGCCTGTTTCTTTATCACACTGTTTACTCAATGAGCATGGGCATTGCAGTGTACAGAATTCACCATAGAAACCACGGTCACATGTTGTAATATTAGCGGGATCTAATAAAAGATAAGAACTTAAGAGTTTTCAGGTTGGAAGCCGTTAGTTCACATCCACTCACTGGCTCAGTTTAACGTTATAATTTCAGACCAGTATCAGGTATTCATTTATTGTTAAATTTTATTCAGAAAGTTGTTTCCAATAAATCATTACGGTAGCTCCCAATAGCATCACAATACCAAACAACAGATTGTGAGAAAAACAGTTAAATCGTACTATTTGTTGAGCTTTAAATTTATTTCGACTGGTTCATTATTATTGAACTTAAGCTTACATAACCAACAGGTAACGATCCCCTGGCAACATGTACGGTATTTCCTTATTGTTGTGTTTAGAATAGTCAAAAATGCAGTATATACCTATGAATATACTAAGATGCAACGAGGTGAGATAAAAATTATTGTTCAATGCAGATATGGCGGTAAACTTACAGTCAATACATTCTCCAGTTGTCCTGTTGCAAGATTGTCTGAAATCACATTGACATTGGAATTCACAGCTTTCTCCAAAATCACCAACTGTACATACAGCATCAGGACCAGGATCTGATATACCAAGCACAATCAAATTTTAAATACAGTAGAACCGCTCCATCCAGTGGGACATCCCTATTCAGGGGACACCCCTATCAGATGGACACTTTCCGTGAAACGAGGCGAAATATATCTTTTAACACTGCGGCCAACCCCTATTAAGGGGACACCCCTATTAAGGGGACGGTGACACTTTCTGAGTGTGGTCAAATCAATACAATAGTCAATAGTCTCAAAATAAGCAACAAGTCTTTCAAATGTATATTTTGAGACCTTTTCAGCAATAAATTTAACATTAAACCCCATTTTGCCTCTCAATCTTTAGAATGGCTATTAGTATATACTTAGTGCACGTGTTTCTTTGTGTAAACTATGGGAATTTCTTGTTTTGTGTATTTTAATTTTGGATTCTAATCTTTACCGTACATGTACCGTACAGCCTGCACCCTGATATTTAAGTTGTTACTCTATTCATGCTGTTCTATCTTGTGCAACCAATAGAAACCTCAATATTTGAAAAAGAAGAATATTGGGTCATTAACATTGCACTAGAATCAAGAAACAATGTCTGGAACATAAAACTTTTACAGTTTTAATTACATATCTGTTGATATCATATATCACAAATGAATTATTTCTCCATTGCAAATTTTGTTATAAATTAGTTATTATTCAACGAACACATTCTTATGTCAAGTAAAATAAAATTATAAAGAATCTATGTCATATGTGTATAAAGACATGCCCAAAACCCCTATTAAGTGGACAATTTCACGTTTTTGGTTAGTGCCTTTTGAATAGGGGTCCCCTATTCACGGGGACACTTTTTTTGGTCCCGAGAGGTGTCCCTTAATAGGGTACTACTGTAGTTAGGATATATGTTCATTTAAATTTATTGTCTACAGTAAAAATCTTCTGTATCTGTTCGTATACTGCACTAAACCTCAGAATTGAGTAAAACGGGGTGCTGGCGTTACAAGAACTTTAATGCAATGATAATTAATTATTACATACTTGAAATAGTATAAAAGCCTTTATAAGTAGTAGTCATTATGTAGGCCTGTTAATTACATTTAAACGAAGGTAAAACAAAAGTGAAAGTTCAGTCGTCTACTGAAAATTACTATACAAACAACCACGTCAAATATCAGTATTAAAGTAATGTAAAAGTGAAAATTACTGTGAAGTTAAAATTATGCATTACTATTAACTGAATATTAAACAGCAGTATATGAGTACGTCACGAAGAATGTGTACGATTTGTTGGAAAGGAAACAAGTATGATGCTATGTAATAGTGAATGTTAGTTGACAATATTTGTTAAAAAGTTACTACTGTAAAAGAGATCGAACCTTTGCAAGTGTCGCCAATGAATCCGTCCGTGCATTGAGATCCAACCTCGCATCCATAAACATAGTTACAATCGTCATCATCGCAATGGCACAGGAGATCACAGTCTGGTCCGTACTGACCAGGGTCGCACACTTAAAATAAGCAATAAAACTACAATTGTACTATCTGGTACTGGTACTGGTATTGGGTATTTATATTGCGCCTTTCTCTTGCGGTTATGAAGCGCAAGCCAAGCCTCAAAAATTCAGGAAAACAATGGTAGGCATAAAATCAGTCATTATTCAGGAACCCGAAGCATCACAGTAGTACAGTCACACAAACAACAAAGACAAATAAACAGATTACAACAATAAAAAAAAACACAAAAGGAAAAAGCAGCAAAAAGAGACTTAGGCAAATTATAAATTCAACCTATGAAATTTGAAACGTTACCTGAAACAAGGTACTTGCCTATATAGAAGTTGTACATTTCTTATAAATATACAATAGGCCTACTGTCAAAACATGTCATTACAAATTAATAATATTACATTCCACTTTCTTTCAATTAACAGTATTTCTACAATAATATTTGATATTTAAAACGTTACCTGACACAAGGTACTTGCCTATATAGAAGTTGTCTCATAAATATACAATATTGTCAAAACATGTCATTACAAATTAATAATATTACATTCCACCTTCCTTCAATTAATAGTATTTTTACAAATCATGGTCCCTATGCCAGATTGCATGTACATTATGATAGGTCCTCCTTTTACGACTGCTAATACGGCAACGATGCTTATTCATATTAAAATCAATAAACCATTTACACCACATAGATATAAAAAAGAACCAACACTATGTCTAAGTGTTAAAAAATAATACCAATATATCTTACTTTGTTCACAGTAAGGACCCATCCAGCCAGATGCGCAAACACAACCCAATGGGTCCGGGTAACAAAATCTAATTCCGCTACAGTTGCCAGTCGGTTCACTACTGCATGTTTTACTACACGTAAGTCCGAAGGCGTTATCTTGTTCAGGGCAAACTGCAACATCAGAAATAACTTTTTCTAATAATTAACGATCAGGATATACAATTTCACTCTGATTGATTGAGAATATAGGGCCTATTTGAACTAACCAAAATGAAAATAAGGCATGAACGATGAGTCAAACCTGTTTCACATTGGTCTCCCATGAATCCAGGAGGACACACGCACGTACAAGTGTCAGCCGAACAAACGCCGCCGTTGTAGCAAATAGGACAAGTATCAACACATGCTGGACGACCGCACAAACCACTTGGGCAGCCTTAAGATAAAATGTCATATTGTTGAGCCCATTATTACATTTTACAACAGCTCTAAAATATACAGGCACTATGCGTAAAATATATGGGGTCATCGTCTTTTTATCATCATCATAGTCCTCATAATCATCATCATCATTATCTGTATAGTTGACGTCCTCATTATTTCTGTTATCATCTTTAACATTACTGCGCTATCACGGGCTAATATACATACAATATTGATGTCCAACATGATACGATAAACTAAATAAACATGATAAATTTACCTCTCACAACTACTCGGAAGAATGCATGCGTCTTATCGTCATAGTCTCCATCCCTGTAACATTCGTATATACCAGACTCTTCAACATAAGCTTTTGTAATGGTTAAAACTGGTAATCCATTTGCCCAACCCAGGGCCTCTCCATTGAATTTCCAGCGTAAATCACTGGCTTCTTCGACATTAGTTGCCAATCGGGTGAATCCACCAAAGGAAACCCGCACAATATCATGAACAGGACTAATTTCAGCTAGATTTAAACATCAAAATATATTATTTATATTATTATTATTTATTAATACTTTGTTATGAAAATTTTTGGTAATAATGATAAGGCTGATTATGATAATTATGATAATGATATCGATGTCAATAACGACAGCGAAAACGACGAGAACAACGTCAAAGACAACAACAATAATAACTAGACTTACTATGTCTGTTTGTAAAACAGAACACATGACTTTTCCTCATTGCTTAAATAAAATGTGATGTTGAAATTTAAAAAGTTAAAACTTATTTAAAAAGTCTAGAATAAAATAACACAAGAAAAACAAAAATGAAATCATACAAAAAATTATGAAGTTAAAACACATGAAAAGCAACTCGACGTCACTGTCAGGGAAACTTAAACTTTGACTGCTAATAATAATCGAAATATGTAAAATGATGTCATAATTGGATATGCACATCGTTGATATGGTATTTGCTTTACAATATTTGAAAAGGATTCACATACGTAAAGTGACCAAAGTGCCGGTCAGAAAAACTCTGTGCAAAAAAATATAGGAAAACAGTAATACTGAAGATGAAAAATAAAATTAGAATAAAAACAATGGCTATTTCTAAAGAAATTCAAGTAATAAAAATACAGGGTAAATGACTCGACGTTAGTAGACTCGAACTATAGCGAGGGTGAAATAGACACTCATAACCCGTGTGTGTGGGTGTGTGTGGTGTGTGTGTGTGTGTGTGTGTGTAAACAGTGTTCTATATGTAGAGGCCTACTAACTTCACTTTTTTCCTCATCCTCATATTTCTATTTGCAAAATATTTCCATTTTAACATCGTCCTGGCATGTATTTTTTTTGTCAGATAAGAGTAAAACGTGCCAGTGTATTAGACTAGAATATGTAAGGAATTGGCAGGTGTACAACTGATACAATAAAAGGAGTTCGAAAAATGAAGTGCTTACATTTTGGTGTGGATTATAGACCATTCAAAGCAAAACCTCCCAGATCAAAAACTAATCAACTGATCTGAATGAAACTTTCGTTTTAGTTTAATTTTTCTTAAGTAGATGGTGGTTGAGTGGTTGGAAAGGAGGAAGTAGTGCAATTTTTCCTAAGTAATGGTGGTTGGTGGTTGGAATATTAGGCTATACCAAGATATATTCCAATCCTTTTTTTTTTTTTTTTTTTTTTTTTTTTTTTTAATCCTTTTTTTTTTTTTTTTTTTGTTTATTTTTTTGTATAGTTAAAAATTAAAGACATAAATGTGACTTTCTACTCACCATCATTAGGCTGAAACCATGCTGTTGAAGTTGTCGTAAATCCATTGTAGGTAGCTGTACCCAAGAATGGACCAACTCTTTGCGCAGCAGAACTGGAAGCTCCAATTGTAATTTCCATGCCAACTGAGTCTCCATCTGTGGTGTACGTAAAAGTGGAATCGCTGGCGAATGGTCCTTCGCCAGGATCATTGTATTGCAACTGCACAGAGTCATCCGACAAGTAACTAATTTCCATGTCTTCAGTTTGTGTGTCGCCAAGAGAGTAGAATCTCAACTTCACTTGAGGGTCACTTGACATATCGGTGTATGGTGGGTCAAGTACGATCACCACGTCAATGATATCATCTAATAATATATACGAGAAATACATAACATTATTGAAGGCCAATGGCCATTGGCGGCACCAGATTCTCTGACGAGTGCACTAAGGTTCTAGACAAAGGGCCCGATGTCCTCACGAGAAGTCCCAAGTTCCCAACAGAGGTCAAAATTCACCACAGCCCTGTGTTCGGTGCAAATTTTAAGAACACCTGTAGTTGCCGGAAATTCAGACTGTAAAAAGTTTTTTAAAACAGTGTTACCCAACAAATTAATTGAATTTTCCAGGGTTCCCCCCAGCGAGAGTTCTTGTGCCCACGAGGTCTTCGCTGGTGTCGTAACTGCCAATAATCTGCATTAAAAAGACATCAAAATATACTGTATATGTAATAAGATCGAACAACAAGATGCGTATTTTAGTAAGAATTTGGCTGTCAAATGGCAAAATCGGCAATCGGTGGCACGTGAAATAATACTTATGACAAAATTTTGCGTGATTTCTTTGAGGTGTTTCTGCTGTAAAGAACATGATCAATAATACTGGTTGAAACACCAGAAATTTGCTTTGAAAATGGCCTAAAAAATTTAGATTTTAAAATAAGTGCCACCGTCTATCTTCGGCCAGATTAAGTATGGGAGTCTCTTCGATCTGTATAATGCGAGTGGAACACACTATAACTTCTAGTCTTAATCATGGTTTAAGAAGGATTCTGTGAATTAGTTAGAAATGAGCATATATAAAAATATCCTGTATCTGTACTTTTACTGATCGGATACTGTACACTGATCAGACTTCATGTCACACCACCAAAGAGTATAAAACTTCAATTCTATACACTCTTTGGCCACACCAACTAAAAATCATCAAAAATTGAATTGTTCGAACTTGTTTTATTGTAAGTTGATAATTGATTTGACCTTTTTAAATGAGCAATCACTTAATTGTGAGTTTTTAGCATAACCAGAGACTGCGTAATCTTAGAAGTTTTCTATGACATAGTTTTACCTGGTACAACGCACACTCCAGACCATTTATCACATGTGAAAGATGAGTCACAATTGCATTCATATTGACATTGGTCACCGTAGTAGCCACTTGGGCACTGCGTAGATGGTAAATACTCTGTAAGAAAATGTATGGTATGATGAATTATATATTGTTTGAGTTTAAAAAATATAAAACGGTATGGTATGAAAAACTACAAATGCTGTGATATGGAGAACAACAATACACAGACCGTCAATGGTATGATATATTGAACCAAGCATCATACAGTAAAGAACCACAAGAAGTAGAAAAGCTAGGTATGCAGTGCATACCCTAGCTAAAACTAAAAAATAAATAAATTATTGTACAGTTTCTGAGTTTTATTTAGCATTTCTTAGCCACAATCTTTTATTTAAAAAAATTGATTTTTCGAGTAGATTGCTACATTTCATTGGAATAGCAAAGTTTTTCAATTTTTGGCCTATTTTGTATATAGGATAAGTCACAATTGTGCCTATCGCATCATTACGCTCAGCTGCTTAGAATTTCCGCATGGCTGGTTTTCAATTTAAATTCTGTAACTTTAAGTAAAGAATACATATCAATATTCTATTCATACCCTAGTTGTCACACTATAAATAGGATGTTAAAACAATAAGAAATTGCATTCGGTGTTTAATAAACTTTAGTGATATAAACATTAAAATATATATAATATGCATACTTTATAAAACATAAGTTAGCATAATGTTAATACTGAGAAAGTTTAAACAAATTATAATAACTTAAATTTTGCTATTGTGCCAACCGCGTGGTGGCGTTTGAGTAGCCAATGAAACACTGGAATAGACGAGTCTTGAAATGGAAGGGGAGTTGAATAGGGGAAGGTAAAGTGAGGGGCTCAATTATTAGGTAAGGGGGCGCTAACTTGCAAAATAATGTAATTTGTGGTGTATTTCATCTACTACAGAATGATTTTGGGCGGCAGAGACAGGGAGGAAGGGGCAAGTATTTGGGAAAGGAGAAGATATGTCACGGCCTAGCATACACTGCAATTTACTTTATGGTCCGCCACTGACCACAAAACAGGAAAATACAATTTATGGTTGTAGAACTATTGAACTCAGCAATACTGATCCGTTGGATATAGCGCGGTATAAATGATTATATAGGTAAATATATATATATATATATATATATATATATAGAATCGAGGAAATTATGTTTATTTATTTATTTATTTATTCTGTCTTTCTACTGCATGCACTTTCAGTACTTGTGTACTGTTTTTCAAAGTGGTGCAGTTTCATAAAGTACAAAAGTTAAAAGAAAAGTAATTAAAAAACATACATATATATAAATAGAATCATAATAAAAGTGATTAAGAGTTAAAAGAGTTATTAAAAAATATAATAGACATGTTCATGTTGGATTGCCTTGGTGTTGCTATAACCAATAATGGTACGGCATTGAGTTCAAAACAAGTTACAAAAGTGTTCTCTCTCAGAATTACACAAAAAAAATCTGTCATCGTTATTATTATTAATAGGAATTATTAATATTATTCCTGTTATTATTGTTTGTATTGCTATTTGTCATATTACCTGTACAAGTATCGCCGGTCATCCCATCACTGCAACTACTGGAACTGCAACCACTATGGTAATTGCACTCATCATCCGGACACGAACAGACTAACTTGCAATCGGGGCCATATGTTCCTGCAGAACACCCTTTAAAAAAACATTGTGGTAATATTAATGCTTTACTACTAGCTGTAGACCTATAGTTGTTTTTTTAACAACAATGCAATTCAACACAGTGAGAAATATCGAACATAAAATTGCAAGTTGTGTTGGTGGTAGTAGTAGTAGTGGTAGTGGCAGTGATGGTGGTGGTGGTAGTGTTGGTGGTAATGGTGTTTGTAGTGGTAGTGGTGGTGGTAGCAGTAGTAAATGCAATAATTTTGTTACATGATTCTGTCTGTGGAGAGCTTAAACTTGACCAATAATATTCAACATTACATTGGCATACTTTAACTACTGAAATAAATTATTATCTATCAGTAAATAATCAAAACTAGAAAATAAAAATAGCCGCACTAATAATTCAGTTCCTATATGAAAAATTTTAAAATCGGTGATTAAAAAATTAATTAAATTAGTTGAGTGTGCATAAAAACTTACTTGTCCCACAGTCTATTCCAGAAAAACCTCCTGCACAAGTACACCCAAATGGTTGAGGTCGACAGAATCGGCTACCTTTGCACTTGTCCACACCATTACTGCACGCCATGGTGCCTCTCTGTCCAAAATCACTTGTAGAGTGTGCTGAAGCATTTTAAAATAGTATATAGTGAATATAATAATAATAATAATAATAATAATAATAATAATAATAATAAGCTATGTCGCATATAGATAGTCATCATTCTTATTCAATCGTTTTTGCTTTTATGAATTTTTATTTTCTTAAAGATGCGTTGTCTGTCAAAAATTGGAATCAAACGGAAAAAATTGAATAATTCATACGTTATTAACATATCAAACAAAATAATTTTTTTGCTGATTTAGAGAAATTTTACTACAAAAATCCCAATATTCATTGTGTAATTATTTAAAGTCCAAATTGTAAGGGTTTGTGTTTTCCAAAGATTTAAAATAAGGACTTACGAAACAGGTTCTTATACTCTGTGATTGATAGGCAACAACATTTCGTAGCCCAACTATAGGCCTATTCTGTATTAGTACCACGTAATTACTTTTCCGATGTCGTTTTGATGTTGTTTTGCGCCATTAAATTTAATGAGTGATCGTTTAATGTCATCAAATGATTGTAATGTTTTATAGAATTTATCAAAATATCTGTATTTAGCTTATATAAAAAGACGTGATTTACTTTCTTCCGTTCTCTAAATTTTACTTTCTGTAAAGGGGCCGGAGTCCTAAAATAAAAATAAATGTCCTAGACCATGGGGTCTAAGAACGAACGAACGATATCCTCAGCCTTTGGAATGTGCTAGACTAGCGCTACATTATACGCACTCATACAATTCGTACTTTTGCTACAACCCTTGTCGCCGCTGTTTCGCCTCCATGGAGAGGCAGGTTGCGGTTCCTCGTACCATCGGAATGACACTCACGCAAGACGATTTTCGGCGTGTGAATGGAATAATACCACGTGATGAAATATCCAAATACTTTTAATTATTGTTTAAATATTTCAATGTGTAAAGTAATTATTGTACGTATAGTCATAAATAAAACTATTTTAATCTTTAGAAATAATAATTGTAATATAAAAAAAAATTTTTTTTAATGTTTATTAAAAGTGAAAGTCTTTTATCATCATAAATATGATAAATTTACACCTGACATGTTATCGTACTGAATACTACGTACGGTACGCTCCTAATTACTTGCGACGATCATGGATTCCGTTGAAACGAGCCCATAACCGTCACATAACTAGCCTGGTGCCATAACCACATGATCACCGACCTTGCACTTAGTAGCTAATGCTGAACCCAATTCCCAATGTTCTTTTCTACTAAGCCCCGCCCTTTAGAATGTTGCTAAGGTGCACAAAACGACAGTGTTAAAACATACGCAAACACATATTATTATTAAGGTGTGGTACCTTGAACAACGTAAACGTTGATTTCGGAAAGATCAATTGTATAGGACAGAGGTGATGACTGATTAAAAAAAATATACGCACCTGTCTCACATAGATCACCAATGTAGCCAGCTGGGCATATGCATGAACAAGAATAAGGATCGCACACTGCCCCGTTCATACACTTTGGACAGTCCATCCGGCAATTTGGCATACCACATTTTCCTGTTGGGCATTCTGTTTTTATTGTAAAATTATTTATAAATGATAATAATATTGTAGTACACAATAACATGAATAAGTATTAACATATCTAGGTCTAGACTAGTTAGTCTAAGCCTAGGCTAACTAAAAAAGAAAGGTGACTGACTTCAATTATAATTTCTATCTAGTTTAGAACTACAATTGTAATATTATATAATAAATGAATAATATTAATAATACAAATGTGCATATCATGCTCTTATGCCAATGTATTAAGTTTCCAAGATTGAGTGCGCCCTCAATTTATTATTACTTTACTTTAGCTAATAATAGAGGAGAGGAAAGGTTAGTTCCCTTGTGATATGCACAATACTGTAGACTCACTCACCTCTGACAGACAGCTTGAAAAAGGCGTGTTCATTTTCAGGGCGTCTTCCATTTATGTAACATTCATAGATGCCGTCATCTTCGACAGTGGCTCGTAATATTGTGAATACTTCAAGACCGTTGGCTTGTGGAATCTCTTCTCCATTGTGACTCCATCGAAGTTCTTGGTTTTCATTTGCATCCGTCCGAAGTTGAACATATCCACCAACCGATGCGACTACGTACGGATTGATTGGCATTACATAGGCTTTTTATTAGAAAGATTGAAGACAAATGTTTAAATAATACCCTGATAGACATCAGATCGGAAAATTATCCATTGGATTCTGCTTTTGATATTGCGCTTGGCTGCTGTTCAGGGGTGGCGCCAGGACCTGCCCGACGGAGGGGCTAAATGCGGGGGGGCATTTCATAAGGTCGAGTATGCGAGCGAATCGAGCATCTACAGGGGGAAGGGCCGCACTTGGCCCCCGGTGGGGGTGCAGGGGGCGAAGCCCCCTGGAAGCCGCGGATATTGGATGAATTATGGCGAATTTTTATTACTTATTTGATAGGCATCGAGTTGCTATAATATGACTTCATGTAGGCTATGCTTTCTAATGTTGACATCAGCTTCCCAAAAACCAAAACATTTTGAATAAAGCAAGAAACAAAGAGTATGCAATGTAACCATCTAATTAATTTTCAAATCCTCATTCTTGAAAGTGAAATTCTATATTTTGGAAATTTTGCATGAAATCTGTCAACCACGTTGTCATGGTCGAGGTTGCTTCACCTATCACGATGTATTCCAACCATCATGAGGTTAAAATAGACCTATACACAGTGCATGCAGATGATTCAAAGCACTCTACGAGATGTGTATAAGAGACAGACCGATGCGACTACGTACGGATTGATTGGCATTACATAGGCTTTTTATTAGAAAGATTGAAGACAAATGTTTAAATAATACCCTGATAGACGTCAGACAGCTATCGGCAAATTATCTATATTGGATTCTGCTTTTGCTATTGTGCTTGGCTGCTGTTGCTATTGCCGTCGCAGCTGATATAGTCGCTGCTGCAGCTGTCGATGATGCTACTGCTATTATTGATGTTGCTGTTTCAATTTTGTCGTTGTGGTTGTTGTTATTGCTGCGTCGCTGTTGCTGCTGATGTTGCAGAATAATTTTAATCATTTTACTACATTTCTTTATAAATTCTAGGCTATTGACAGTCAGTAGACAGACCTATGACAGTTAGATGCAGCTATGAAACTATAATGACATCCGACTATGCTTACCTGACATACTCTGATAAAATGAAGTTATGTCGATTTCCCTTCGATTTTCCACCTCTACCCGACCGCGCCAAGGTCCCCTTTGTTGGACTTGTGGAGCACTTGAAGGGATATCTATCCTAAATCGAGTGTATATACTGTTAACTTCACTTCTTCCTATACCGCCTTCGAACAATGTTCCACTAAAATCTGTATCATCCATAGTAAGTTCCACGTCGGGCTCAGAAACGTAAGATAAGTACATTGTAATTGGTGGATCCTTAGACTGTGGCGCGTAGTAGAGGCCCACTATTGATCCCTTAACAAACAATGTCATGTCGATGGGAGGATCTGTAGAAGAGAGGCACATAAATATAGCGTATTAAAGTATAGACATCGCAATAGCTTTAGTATACATATTAAATACATAATTAAAATTGATCGTCCCATGTACATAGGAACCATCGATTAATGTATCCTATATATCTTATATATCGTTGGGAGAGTCACGAACATCCAGTTTGAAGTGTACAAGTCTGAGGTTACCTACATGAATATGAATAACTTATTTCAACTTACCTAGGAGAACATCTGGAGCTGCGGGGAAGAAATATTACATTTTAATGTAAAAAAAACAGACAATAATCAAAAGAAATATTATTATTATTATTATTATTATTATTATTATTATTATTATTATTATTATTATTATTATTGTTGTTGTTGTTGTTATTGATATTATTATTATTATTATTATTATTATTATTGATAATATTATCATTATTATTAATATTATTATTATTATTATTATTATTATACTACTATTCACGGGAATCAGCCTTCGGCGTCCTTTTGCGAACCTGTGAGTACTGCAGTGTGGGTCCAGATATTTGCAGGAAGGGTCCAGAAAGGAAAAGGGCACTCATGTATTATGAATGATATATGTTTAAATAACGTAGGGGGAACCGCCTTCCGTCTTGTAACTTTCCCTTGTATATTAAGACTTGAAAGCTAAAGGTAATATTAGATTAACCTGGTCGCCGACCATCTCTCTCTCTCTCTCATCTTATTATTATTATTGTTATTATTATTATATTATTATTATTGCTGTTATTATTGTTATTATTATTAATTATTATTTATTACAACTATCAAAACACACGGTATTATATCAATGTAAAATTCTTACCAGTTGTAGTTAATGCTACTGTAGTCACTATATAAGAAGAAATAAAAATATTTAATATTAAAATGTGCAAATGACAAAGAGTTGTAAATAAAATGTTGGCATACATAGGTATATTATTTTGTGCATTATTTTCAGCTTGCTGGATCTCGAATGATATATATATATAT